CGGTCGAACAGTCCAAGAAAACGCGTCCTGGACGACACGTTAGATTCCCAGAATACCTTCACACCTATTTCACATAACTGAGTGGTGCGTTTCACCCAACTCATTATTTCTCCTCAGACACGTCAGTATTTTTATGTAGCATCACTTAACACAAGTAAACGATTTTTTCCTATAACCGTACATTAAACATGCACTTAGAAAAAAATTAAATTAGATGTATATTTGTTTTTCCGATATTTTGAACTTTGCATTATTTTGCTGTATAGTAGATGCACGTCATTTTCTTTGGTAAAAGCGCGTCGGTGGCACAGTGGTTAGGACTCTCGCCGACCATGCACATGGTCTGGGGTTCGATCCCCTGCCGGCGCACACGCGATATCTATGGTCGGCCTGAATTTGGGCTACCGATATCCATGCTGAAAATTCCATACTTGTACTGAAAATACGGTGTGGAATCAAGCTGTAAATGAAAATAAAAAAAATAAAAAAAAATTATTTGGTACATTTTCCTTGACAAGGTTCTCAGCATTCTTGTTTTCTTTTCCAGGTGCAACGGGCACTGGACAGGAAAGAAACGAAGCACGGGATCCAACGAACAACATCGGGGAAGCTATGTACAGACACCCTATTAGCATAGGCAGACAGACCAGCAGGCCCTGCATCAAGCCGCTCGGAAGATTTTTTTCACCCATCAGGGAACCATCGAGATTTTTTACTTCCGGCTGGTCATGTCTTAGGGTCCTCACAAACCCACTAGGGGGGAGTGAGCTGTAGCGGTAAATAATACCTCAAAATTATTAACCACAGCAATCATCACTCAACATTGGATGCTGACACTCACTGTTTAAGTCGGCTTGTTTAGCTGAAGGCTTACGGTCAAGCATCCCCTCCATTTGGTACTCCGTCGTGTCACGTGCGTGCACGATTACTAGCTAGCTAAGCATTCACCTCTACTCGCGATTTTGTCCCGAAATATACTACGTACTTTGGACGACAAAATTTGGTCTTTTGCTTTATCTTTGATACTCGAAGAGCGAATACTATAGAAGTTGTTCGTATAAGATCTTGCGTTAGTATAATCCGTACAACTCGTGAACGTCGATACCTGCAACCTCTAAACTGCTACAGAAACTTCAGCACGATGATTCTCCTTGCGCCAAAAGGAAAAGTCCGTGTGGGGACATGGAATGTGCGCACCATGTACGAGATCGGCAAAGCTGCCCAGATCGCAAACGAAATGAAAAGATACGGAATTCAAGTACTGGGGATATGTGAAAGCCGATGGAAGGGGAATGGACTCATCAAATTGTCAACGGGTGAGTCAATGATCTACTCCGGTCACCCAGAAGATAACCACTCGCACACCGAGGACGTGGCTATCATGATGTCACCAACGGCAACGAAGGCCCTCATGCAATGGGAGGCGATCTCGCCCAGGATAATGACCGCCAGCATCAACTCCAAAAAAAGAAAGTATCAGTTATACAATGCTATGCACCGACAAACAACGCAGACCTCGAAAAGAAAGAAGAGATTTACAGACAACTACAGGCAACAATGGACAATACTCCAGTCGGCGACATTAAAATACTAATGGGAGACATGAAAGCCAAACTGTGATCAGACAACACAGGAAGGGAACTCATCATGGGTAGAGAAGCTCTCGGAGAAATGAATGAAAATGGAAAACTCTTCGCCGAACCAAAAACCAAATTGACTTCATCTCAATCTCAAGGAAGTGGAGGCGCTGCCTGCTGGACACAAAAGTAAGAAGAGGAGCAGACGTTGGCTCAGACCACTGTCTCATACAAGGGGTAATCCAAGTCAAATCGAAAGCTTTCACAGAAACAGGAGCTGCAGATAGACCACAAGCCAAGTTCAACACTCAAAAACTGAAGGACCAGGACACAAAGGACATCTTCACTGCAAGCATAAAGGACAAATCAACACTAGCGAAGAGGTCAGCGTCGAAAAGCAGTGGAACAACTTGAAAACAGTGTGGAGTCAAACCTGCATGGAAGTTCTAGGCAGAAAGAAGAGACAGGACAAACAGTAGCTCATTACGGACACTGGGAGACTGATAGAAGAGAGATGGATGGCGAAACAAGAGATTCTCCAGTGTGCCTACGAGCAACAAAAGCAGGATTTGAAGGCAAGCTACAAGACACTGAACAAAAGAGTGAAGAAGAGTGCCAGGGAAGACAAAAGGAAATATTATGAAGCCATGGCAAGTGAAGCAGAACAAGCTGCAGGCAAAGGATACCTCGTTACAGTCTACCAAACAACTAGGTACCTATCGGGCAAAAGTTTGGCACAAATTAAGCCGGTGAAGGATGACAATTGAAAGTCAATCACCAAAGAAGTGGAGCAAAGGAAACGCTGGGCTGAACACTTCAAAAGACTCCTAAATCGACCACAACCTACAACGCGCCCAACAATACCAACGACGGAGACAGAGCTACCAGTGAACACCAACCCCCCGACGAAATCAGAAGTGCTGAAGGCAATCAAGATGCTAAAAGCTGGAAAAGCAGCAGGACCAGACGGAATCCCAGCAAAAGCATTGAAAATGGACCCAGTGGCAACAGCGGACTTGATGACGCCACTACTGGAGAAGGTGTGGAAAGAAGGCAAAGTACCTAAAGATTGGAAGGAAGGCTACTTATTCAAACTATCAAAGAGAGGAGACTTAAGTCAATGCAAGAACTGGCGCGGAATTATGCTCCTGTCCATCCCAAGCAAAATACTACGCCGCATCATCCTGAAGAGAATCAAACATGCCCTGGTTGAAAAATTTCTACCGGAACAGGCTGGATTGAGGAGCCGCTACAGTAGCTTTTTTTACAGGTTAGGGTTGCTAGCCTCACGCCTGAGAAGGGGACAGAGGAAATTTTTGTGTTGCGTGATCGCAGAACCCTGGGGACAACTGCTTGAGGCCGGCCTGTTTTTGTTTGTTCTTTCTTGTTTGGTGTGTCTTAGTAGCATATATATCTCTTCTGCCCTGTTACACAGCAGCAGGAAGCGCGGTCGTTGTTATTCCGGGCCCCGACCGATCCGGCATGATATTTTGTGAGTTTGTTTGAATCATTGTATTGGATTGGATAACTGCTTCTTGTCTAACCGCTATCCAAACAACCTTTCTGGCATGGTAGGACTTACAGCAACATAAGTTCCAGCCACTGTAGCTCGTTGGGTCATTGCGATATGCAAGACTGACCATCACGTCGAGGTAGCAGCTATCGGTCAGGCTGCATATTATAGCGGTAGACTAATGAAAGAGAGAGAATAACTGGACGTGCGACAACACATTCCTGACCTTTAATTTCTGTTTGTCTTCTTAAAATTCATTATATTAAGGAGGCCGGTAGGAACAAGTGATAACTGACTGTAGGGATATCCGTTAGGTTGTCGCGTGTTTCTTGTAGTTGCGTGTTTTTGTGTCATATTATGAGTGGTAATATGCAAACATTCTTGGTTACAGCCAGTTAATGTAGTGATCTGCACAAACATTTGTCACTAGTTGAAACCTTATGATAAGAAGATGGAGTATTTAAATCTCTTCCCATTATCATACCGAAGTAGGAGAGGAGACTTCATTTTGGCATACCGTATATTAAAGAGTGACTTAAGGATTGATCTTTCAAATGTTTTTCCTCCCTCTAGAATACATTTATGAGGTCACCAGAAGTAGGTGCTCAAACGAAGGACGAATAAAATACGTGTGGAATTTAGATCCTCACGAAGTGGTCAACGACTGTAAATCATCACCTGATCCAGTAGTAACAACTCCATCGCATACCGCTTCCAAAGAGAAATTAAATCTCTTTTTGGAGATATATATCGCAAGGATCGACATAGGCGACAAAAGCCCACTATCCCTATAATCTGAATCTTTCCAAGCGTACAGTAATGCTGAAGTAAATCTCGCAAATTCTGAACTAACTCTGACTTTCTATAATGAGTGGATTCTGAAATGATTTGATTACGCGCACAAACCAGAACTCGGTGTTGGATTTCAGCAACCTCAACTGATTCATTCAAGAACGGTTTGGACAAGCACAAAAATTTAATAGAACAGGAATAACATGAGCTCCAAGCCTTCTATCCCCAGCCAAGAAATCTGAATAACTGGCACTGATTTAGCACCCTGTTCTTTTTCTAGACATTTTCAGAAGTAGCTCAGAACCTACTGTGTTTCCTTATCAGCCTTATTTCAGACCTCTTAGCCCAGATTCAGCGTGCAGTTCTCCTTTTAGGAACAACCACCGTTTTTTCAGTACATGCTGGTTTCATTTCAGGTATGAAACTATTCATTTGCCGTAAGAAAACATTATCGTCGCGTAGGTTAGAATTAATTAATTATCCACCTGAGCTACAAATCTTCTCTATCATATCTAATTTAGAATTGTAAGCTTGGGATTGTAGGACTATGTACTTATAAGTGCACTATAGCCCAATCACACTTACGTAAGTTTGCTAAAACCAAATCCTGGCGTCAAAATACTTGGGTCCATATTTTGTACACACGAGCTCCTGTATTACCACTGCCCCCTTTGAGATTCATGTCATTAGTAATCAGTATTGTGGGGAAACCAGGTTTCGCACTACCATTTTTATCACTTGCATGCATGGCAGGCTGGGTGGCTGATCTTCGTGATGAAATATTCCGTCTCCCTTTAAAATTGTACATTGGTTTTATGCCGAAAATCCCGGAAATTTCATATCTGGATTAGTACGTGAAAAATGCCGTCTACCGATGTCTTATGTAGTGCATTTTGGTGGTCTTTGGGATATCTAGGTAATTTCTGGATGTTGAATATGAAGTATAACGAAGAGAGGATGTTTGAGTCGAGGACTATATTTCACGACTGCTTAGTAGTTGCAGCCCAGTGATATGCACCTTTTTAGGGAAATTATTGCAAGGGAAGCAGATAACCATGCAATCAGACCTCAGAGGAGTTTTCACTAATCGAATGCCACATACGTTTATCGTTTGTCACCGATCACTTATGTTGTCATGTCTGTGATTTACTGGCAAGTGGATGTGCGCTGAGTGATATTACCGAAATCCCATTCAGAAACTGACAACCTCTGCTTGATTTCCTCCGGTACTGTAAGCTTCTTAATGAACTAGTAGTGGAATTTGAATTAGGACTTGAATATATTGACATCCGATTGAGTTGATGTTTCGATCAGGTGAAGGAAAGACAAGTTTGTCGGACTATATGCGAATATGTAGACAGCTTGGTCATTGACTGACGGTAATAAATAATAAAGAGCCATATTGACGTGTTTTATGGTCGTGCAGTTTCTAATGCACATGAGAATATTTGAAACGTGACTCGCTTGACATTGCTGTAGAATCCCTCAAAGTTTTGATTGTGGTAATAGAAATCGCTTGGAGCTTGAGTGAATTTACTTAACAAGCTGCATTCTCTGACTTTTATTTCAGTCAAAGATGCCTCGACAGATTGACAACATAAAAGAATTTCTGCACATGACACAAAGGGCAGACGCCAAATGTAAGCCATTCAAAACTAATCGTAATTGTAATTTTTGTAGCCGTTAAAATCAAAGAGAATAAAGACAATGTCAAATTTAAAATTCGCTGCAGCCGATTTTTATACACACTTGTTGTAGTTGAAAAGGAGAAAGTTGGGAAGATTAAACGCTCACTCCCTCCAAGTAATTATAGTGAAGTACTAGTTAATCCTCACTCTTCCTTTAGATCTGACTGTCAAAGAACTGTAATGTGCTGTTGACAAATAAATACTTTGATAACGAAGTTAGTCTCATGATTTCCTGACAGTGTGTGCGAGTGTGACTATGAGGGAAGCTAGAATGAGACAGCCGCGATATCTATAACCACATGTGAAGCTGGGTTACAACACCTCACACCAAACTGAATTTTAGTTGCTGACGGCAACGACTAAGAAGTCAATAAAATTAGCGACTGTGGAAAGTTGCAGGATGAAAGAGGTGCAAGGAACAGAGTGAGGTCACACAAGATTATAGTGCGTCAGATATGAGAGTTATTGCTTCTGCCCCACCGTGAATGGATTTTAGAGTATTCGTTTGTCTTGAGAAACGTTTGTAATTTGTTGGTGCATTCCAACGAGATGAATTACATTAATTGACGTTATTCATTGCGGCCTCGCAGAAAGAAGACTTAGAAACGAGTATAATAAACATTGAGGTGAAGACAGTAGGTGTAGTCACCATTAGTTAAATAGTACCGTCGTTGAATTCTATCTAACAAACGCAAAGGGGTTACTGCGCTGCAGAAAGATTCGTATAGGAAGTGATTGTGTTGTGTTTTCGTATGCCCACTAAGATTGCACTCGATTTCATGTGGTATTTTTTGATGAAACATGTTGTGGCGAAGGATGTGTTGCGTTTCAGGGTTAGAAAACGGTTGTGTGTGGGGACGAAATAGTAGACTTTTGCTAGTTGAGGGATTGTGAGTGGGTGTGAGACTGGACACTGTGAATAAACCACTTGTTGTGACGAGTTTTAGGCGATGTGATGGTGTGTTGGACGAAGTGTCTTGGCGTAGGAATGCAAGGGAGGGTATTTATGCGGATGTAGCGTGTCCCGGGTGGGTTATTTTGCTGTGTATTACGTTTTCATGTAGACTTACTGTGACACGGAAAGTGAGAACGGATGAGATATAGTTGTCGTGGATCCCTGTCAAGTCTGATGCTTGATCTGACGGTTTGTAGTTAGCTGGTGTTTCAGCTAGTTAGTGTTGAGAGATTCGCCGGGACTCCTTTGGATATGATTAGTCAATGTTGACGGATGCATGAAGACAAGAGAGAGAATTGTCTGAGTCTGGTAATTATTTGTGTCTGGCTTTGGTTAGCCAACAAGTAAGTGGTGTCTAATTTTCTGAATGACTGGTGTTGAGATGGCGACAAAATGGTGCGTTCATGTGGTAAGTTAGTGATATTTCTGACCTAATTCATTTATCATAGACTCTTGACACTGAATGACTGGGCATACTGAAGAGGGGTCTTCGTGGAATACAAAGTGCCATTAACAGGTTAGTTTTCGACTAGGACAAATTCTAGTTTTCATTGTCTTTGTCTTACTGTGTGGTGAGTGTATGACACCTCTTATGAGATGATAGTGATTCGTCTTTCACACTGACTGCTTGTCTAAATTGATTCTCACATGTTTATCTTTTAAGATGTCAGTGGTGCACACTGGGTAAGTAGGCAAATTCGAATTGTAATTCAATGATGAATTAATTGCGTGTCATATGAACTATCATTGATATGCACTATTAATCTGATAGAAATTCCCAGTTAGCAACTTTTCTATATTTCAATGCTATCATCAGAACGACAAATCTTGTTGCTAAATATTTATTTTCCTTCCTTTTTTGCATTGTTACCTAGTTGAGTTGGAGCAAGTTACCGTGAAGTTGTTGTTTTGGTGACATGAAGGGCGTATATGGACGAATGCGGCTTTCCGTTTGGCGACTTATAGGCTGGAATGGTTCCTACCAGTTGTTATAGTGCCACTGCATTCTGGTAGTCTGGGAAGAAAGAACTATGATGTTACTTGTGATGAACAGTGTTTAGTCGAGTGTATAAAGCAATGTAAAGTATACATGTTATGTAGAACGGAACCAGTTTTCATTTGTTTCCGTTGTTTATCACGTCATCACTTGGGGCTATCCATGTTAGTGTATACCTTGTAGTGCTTTAGTTTACATTTATGTAAAATGACGTCTTAAGAGATAATGTTTTTTTTTCACGTTTACGTGAAATACGTCGTCTACAAACGCAAGTTTGTACTGACACTAGAGGGGAATCAGGACAACAAGTATATCGTTTAAAATACGAGATATTCTGTGATCAGAAGTGTTAAACGATGAGGATTGCTAAACTAGCTATGGGTTGTGTCTTACCGTAGCATGACAGCGTGATGAATGGTGAATAGGCTTAACCGCATACCTTCAGCCCAATAAGTCGTCCTAATCAGTAAATGTAAGCATTCAGTATGTTGAGTTAGGAAACCTATAGACTAATAATTTTGAAGTTATGTACGGCTGTAACGACAGAAGGCAAGAGTCAGGCAACAGATCATTTATTAAGGAAATCAACGCATATTTATATATTTTCATGTACATTACTATGGATATTTAAGCAAACAAACACAGTCTTCCGATTGGTTGTTTCTCACGTAAAGTTAATCTTTCATCTATTTGTGCCTGTTTCTTGAATGTCAAATCCTCTATATGTTAACTGCATCCGCCTACGCAAAGTCTGCTGTGGTCGGTTTTGAATCAATCTTTGTTCACATTTTCTCACGACAAATCTTGGGAACGTAAATATTGACGTAAATTACTGTCTACCAATTTGGCTAGTAGACAGCTCTCACCACACGGCTACAGCCCACTTCCGCCTTAGTGGGGTCATGGTGGTGGCACCACCAATAAATCTCTTCCTGTGGGCGTGATGACAGTGAGTTGCTCACTGGTCGTACACGTATGGCAATTTTATTCTTTAACGTTCGTTTGCTTCTCCAGAGCCCATCGCATCTGTAAAAGAAAACATGAATGCTGGGAACTTTGTTGGAAAAGAATTACTGAAAACAATGGTTGGTTTGGGACATACAATGCGATAAAATATGAAAAGAGAGGACATTGAGAAAAACATTAATTTATTTTGAAAATTCCCATTCAGTCATAGAAAAGAAAAGGCGTTCAGCAAAGAGTTACTCTTTTCGGCGATATCATTCTCAAGCTGTACAAACCGCAAATTTATAGTAATTCTTCTTGGCAACAAAAGGAATATTTCCAAAGATGTGTTAATGCAATTGTTAATTTTTTGACAACAGATTACGTAATTTAGAAGGCGTTAATCGGTTAGAAACTAAAATAAAGTTACAAAAGTAGGTTGGGTGACGTAATCTAATTGCTAGGGTTCAATGAAAAATGAACGAGAGTCAAGTTAATAATCTGAGTAGAATTCACTGGAAAATGGATGAGAGTTAGGTTAATAAGCTGAGTAGAATTCACTGGAAAATGGATGAGAGTTAAGTTGATAAGCTGAGTAGAATTCACTTAAAAATAAACGAAAATGGAGTTAGCAACAGTCGTCATGAGGGTAGAGATTTAATAGAGGGTGGGGGTAGAAAATAATGCAATTAAGAAACAGACAAACAAAGAAGAAAGAGGTAAGACAAAATTACGTATTTGGTGTTGAGATAGATCAGGACCATTGTAGATTTAGTGACTGAACAAACTTCTTTTGTATGCAGAGTTCAGGATTCAATATGTGAATTGCCATTGCTTCTGCAGTTTGAAGAAGTTTAATTCGTACTCTTTTGGCGAGATTCCCACATATTGTGTAGATAACTGAGAAGTTGTTTTGTGGGTTTGCTTGGTGTCCGGATTCGATCAAGTGTTCTAGGATAGAGCTGTGGCGGGGGGATCTTCTTTCTCCTTTATAAAACCATGAAGGTAAGTGTTCGCTGATTCGTTTGGATAGCAAACGCTGGGTACGGCCGACATACCTAGCTCCACATGAGCAGGTGAATTTGTAGATGCACATTGATGAGGCCCCCAGTGGAAGCTTGTCCTTCACGTTCGTGCGAATCATTGGTTTTGTAGAGAAAGTTAGTCTGAGTTCAGCTGCGAAGAAGGTTTTCTTCAGTGAACGGCACAGGCGGTTTCTCAGTATTTCTGCTGAAGAATCTCCGTTGAATTGTAGATTCAAATAGAGAAGTTTCTTGGGAGCAGTAAGCATAGACGGTTTTTGTGTTTTCGGCTTCATGGCTTTTGTGATGAAACGTTCCGGGTAACCGTTTTCAAGGAGGATTCTTTTCAGGGTCTTCAGCTCCTCTTCTATAGTTTCCGGACTGCAAATTTTGTGGATTCTGTGAGTCAGTGAGCGGATTAGATTTCGTTTTGTATATAGAGGCACCCAACTGTGAAAGCTGATGAGTTGTCCATTCCATGTCGGTTTTCTGTGAATGGATCTTCTGAGTGTCCCATCTTGTTCGCGTCTTGTTAGTTGCACATCCAGAAAAGATATTGTTGCGTTGGACTCCTTCTCTAGTGTGAACTGGATTGCTGGATGGCAACTGTTGAAGAAGTCCAATATGTTCTCCAAATTTTCCTCATTATTGACGATAATAAAGGTATCGTCCACGTATCTCTTGTAGAACCTGAAGTTATCTATTGTCTTCTTTAGGTGTGCATTTTCTAGTTTTGACATGAAAATATCTGCAAGCAGCGGGCCGAGTAGTGAGCCCATAGCTATACCATCTTTTTGTCTATATATTTCATTATTGAAAGTGAATTGGACGTTTAGAGTACATCTTAATAGGAGTTCCTTCAAATAGTCCGTGGGTATACCAATGTTCATCTCCTTTGAATCAATATATTCACATATATAGCATATTGTTTCGGTTAGTGGGACATTTGTAAACAGTGATACCACATCCAGTGAGAACATGGTTTGATTGGAAACGCTGACGTTTTCAATGGAATTGACAAAATCGAAGGGGTCTCGAAGTGAGTGGCGGGAGATTTCCTTTCTGACTGGTTCTAGTATGTCTACTAGCCATTGTGCGGTACTGTGATAAGGTGAATTAGTCATATCAAGAATGGGTCGAAGAGGTACGTTTTTCTTGTGCACCTTTGGTAGTCCATATAGCCGGGGTATATTTGAGCCCGACGGTTTCAAAGATTCGAAGGTTTAGATCGGCACGAATATCCAAAGATGTACTGGAAGTCCCTCAGACGAGACCACATCCATCCGAATACCAGAACGCTCAGGCGACACACACTAAACAACATTGACTCCATCCAATCACGTGTCCCTGAACTAGAACGAAATGTTGACTTACGAGCTCACGCAGTCCACGATTTAGAACAAGAACTACGCCAATCGTTCGAAGAATATGTCGAAGAAGTTGCACAGAAACAATGTGAGAATGTCAAGTCAAACCTTATTAAAAGCCTGAAGCCGACGAGCGACCGTGAACGTCCATTCCCAAGCAATCCAGAAAAATACGTATTTGACCTCTCAAACATTGAGCTGTCAGAACTTCAACTAGAAACACTGTCCCTCGGTCCAAAGTTCTGCACAAATCCATCAAAAATCCAAAAACTTCAAACCCAAGTTCAGTTCGGAAACTTGATAAACCAAACATATGATCTATCACCAACTTCCGAAGAGAACCTGCAACAGTTCAGGTCGGTAGTCCTCGACAGCTGCCATAAATTTAGATTCGTCGGATAGGATGGTCAGCATTTTACTTATGTTGTCTTCACGATTCATGACTACGATTCCCCCACCTTTATCCGGGCGTAACAGAATAATCTCCTTGTTGTTTATTAATTCTTTGAGCTCTTTGTAGTGTTTTTTGGTCAGTATTGACTTTCCATTTGGTTTGGTATTCATAAATTTATGGCAGCTGTCGAGGACTACCGACCTGAACTGTTGCAGGTTCTCTTCGGAAGTTGGTGATAGATCATATGTTTGGTTTATCAAGTTTCCGAACTGAACTTGGGTTTGAAGTTTTTGGATTTTTGATGGATTTGTGCAGAACTTTGGACCGAGGGACAGTGTTTCTAGTTGAAGTTCTGACAGCTCAATGTTTGAGAGGTCAAATACGTATTTTTCTGGATTGCTTGGGAATGGACGTTCACGGTCGCTCGTCGGCTTCAGGCTTTTAATAAGGTTTGACTTGACATTCTCACATTGTTTCTGTGCAACTTCTTCGACATATTCTTCGAACGATTGGCGTAGTTCTTGTTCTAAATCGTGGACTGCGTGAGCTCGTAAGTCAACATTTCGTTCTAGTTCAGGGACACGTGATTGGATGGAGTCAATGTTGTTTAGTGTGTGTCGCCTGAGCGTTCTGGTATTCGGATGGATGTGGTCTCGTCTGAGGGACTTCCAGTACATCTTTGGATATTCGTGCCGATCTAAACCTTCGAATCTTTGAAACCGTCGGGCTCAAATATACCCCGGCTATATGGACTACCAAAGGTGCACAAGAAAAACGTACCTCTTCGACCCATTCTTGATATGACTAATTCACCTTATCACAGTACCGCACAATGGCTAGTAGACATACTAGAACCAGTCAGAAAGGAAATCTCCCGCCACTCACTTCGAGACCCCTTCGATTTTGTCAATTCCATTGAAAACGTCAGCGTTTCCAATCAAACCATGTTCTCACTGGATGTGGTATCACTGTTTACAAATGTCCCACTAACCGAAACAATATGCTATATATGTGAATATATTGATTCAAAGGAGATGAACATTGGTATACCCACGGACTATTTGAAGGAACTCCTATTAAGATGTACTCTAAACGTCCAATTCACTTTCAATAATGAAATATATAGACAAAAAGATGGTATAGCTATGGGCTCACTACTCGGCCCGCTGCTTGCAGATATTTTCATGTCAAAACTAGAAAATGCACACCTAAAGAAGACAATAGATAACTTCAGGTTCTACAAGAGGTACGTGGACGATACCTTTATTATCGTCAATAATGAGGAAAATTTGGAGAACATATTGGACTTCTTCAACAGTTGCCATCCAGCAATCCAGTTCACACTAGAGAAGGAGTCCAACGCAACAATATCTTTTCTGG